AGCGAGTGTCAAGTGCAAAGTGATAAGCACAGTAAAAGTTTGATATTTAAAAATTATAAATGTTTGGTAAGTATTTCAAAACAAATGTTTGGTCAGGTTACGCAAAGAAAAAAAATACAAAGGAACTTTAAACTCATAAACTAAATATGTAAGAAAAATTAAAATAAATATCTATCTTTCAGTATGAGGCTTTTAGTTAAATTATTATTTCGGTATAAAGACTTTTCGCATTGTTTACTTAAAAATAATCAAGTTTTATTGTGTTTTAAGTTGTTGTATATATACATTAGGGCGGCACAATTTCTATGGGAGACTTTTTCGAACATGCGCGTATGGCACATAAGGTTTCCACGTGTAATTCTAAGAAAATTTGTCGATGAAACCATGGGTCTAAAATCAATTGGAGTTTGGCAAATTTCGAAAAAAGGTTTCTTAGCATTTTGCTGTGTGGTGTCGTAAAGAATTTTGTATAAAAACATGCTATACCCCTTGTATTTTGGTATGAGGAATCCATTTCTGCACTTATCTTTTTCTTAAAACTTCCATCGGAGGGCGCAACAGTGAAAATTTTCACATTTTCTTCGAAACCTATTTTCACAATTTGGCAAACTTTAAATTGATCTAAGACCCACAGCTTTTTTGGCATATTTGCTTAGAATTACACGTATTATGCCCTCATGCTATACGCGCATAGTAAAAAAAAACAAAAAATTACCCGTACTGTATTTACTTAATGGTACATCGTCTTAAAGATTAAAACAACTGTGATCGGCAATTAACATGCCAGTTCAATATAAGAATATTAGCTTAGACACGCAAGTGACGTCAATTAAAATAAAACTTATGAATGATGCGTTTTCGGGAGGGAACAAAAAAGGTGACATTTGTTCTCTAGTTATACACCAAAACCAATTAACTAAACTTTCGCAGCCCAATTTTGTTTTTGTTGGTGATAAGCAGATTTGCTTTCAGAATTTAATGAATAAATTTAATAATGGAATAAATTAAAATAAAAAGCAGATAAGAAGATGATAGCATTAAAGTGCGCAGTAAGTACTACATACATATTAGCCATCTATGTACATATGTACATACGTATCTGCTTATGCGCTTCTGTATACATAAATACTAAACTCATTTACAGATTTTTAAGGTTCTTTTATTTGTTCAATCGAAACTTGTTGATTTTGCATACATATCTCTCTCTCTCTTTATTTATTATTATACTCTGCTCAGTGTACATTTACATACATACACATATATGAACAAACATATGTATCTTTTTATTAATTTTAAGCACCAATTCACTTTCAAAAATCCACTTTATTGAAAGTGCTAAACAAGCGCGAACACTTATGTAAAACTGATTATCAGTTCATTATACTAATAACTTTAAACAAATAAAATTTTATCATTGATTATAAAAGCACAAACAAACATAAATATATGCACTTGTGTAAGTACGACAAGTATTTGCCGCAAATGCCTCTCAGCTGAGTGTATCTGTTAAAAACTTCGTTGCTGGAGTACCATTTTCAATTACTTTTATTAGTTTATATACGTAGGAATGTAGGTACATAAATATATACATAGATATGTACACACATATGTATATAATTACATGTTAAATATACACATCACGTACCAACAACAAACAAAAGCTATATATATATATATATATAGGCATATATATAAGAAAAATGTATTTAAAGGTTCTATTTTTTTTTTGTATTCCAAATTCGCGTTTGATGCGTTCAACTGTATTTAACACACGAAAATAGATCTTGTCACTGCAAGCGTCTAAATTCAACTGATCGTAGCTATTATCGTCAGCGTTTTCATATTTGTTATCAAACTCATAAAATGAAAAAACGAAAATTGGATGAAAGTAGAAATCCGAACTCAGCTGAGCGACTAGCTAGCGTTGCCATTTTAGCGATGGTAAGGCTAATTAATTCATTGATTGAAACCCCGTTTTTTTGGTGGGGAAAAATTAAATTTTATGTACCTAACCAAAACATTTACAGCTCTGTGGCAGATCGAGTTTGCCTAACAGCACAAAATATTTCATCATACCTCCTAAAAATGAATTTAGATCAATCAATTTTACACACGAAAAAATTAATATACATAAGTGGTATTCACCAAAGGAGCAAGTGGCCTGGCAATCTGGCAAAAGAGCAGATCAGCTCAAGCAACGACTGATGTCAACAGACTGCCAGGCCACTTGTTCACTTTCGTGAATACCACTATACATTTCACGAAACTAAGGTCCAAAATATAGTAAAACTGCGTCTTTAGTTTTTCTCTTCGAAGTTAGAATTTCTTTTAAAAGGACTTTGAAATATCACAATATACTAATTCAAAAAATTAATTACAAAATTCAGTACAATAAAGAATAACAAGTTAGGCATAAAATAAAAACGGGCAATTCTGCAAAAATTCAACAAAATTAAATATCTTGCGCAAAAATTACGAATATTTATAGAAAACTTTGACCTTGAATATCCTTAAAAATTTTTAACAGTTATTTGTGAGAAAAAAAAGGTTAAAGACTTAAATATATATACACTGCAAAATCCTCGAATTTCGCCCTTATAGCTTTATTAGTTTAGCATAAAAAAAATTAAACATGCTTTCTCCTCACTTGTCCTTATGAGAAAAAAAAAAAAAATATATATATTTTTAGACCTCAGAATTTCCACATTTCAATGGATTTTTTTAAATAATTTTTTGAATTAATAACAAAATTGCAATTTCAAAGTCTTTTTAAAAAATACCTGACATAAAAACGCAGTTTTATTATATTTGGCCCCATGTTTCGTGAGTATACTGAGTCTTTCATGTGTTTGGATTTTTTTTTATGTATGTATTGGGTTATAAGGTTCAAAAACATTCAAGATGTTTATAGCCTGGCCACTAAACTGAATTTTAAGATCTTCATAATTTTTAAAAGTAAAGAGTATAATTGTTTGAAGGTAAACTTCTTTACGCTCGGTTGAGTGGAAGCATGGGCGTGGCCAGGTAGGGGCAGGGGGTGCTCGACCCGCCCTAACTTTCAAATTTTCCTTATATATATATAAAATAGTACCCTGAAATGCCAGCTTAATAGGGTCGAGCAACAGTGAAACCAGAGAACGTATATGAATTCATTGTCGTTTTATTACGTATCATACACGTTCTCTGGTGAAACGCAAGAAAATACGAGAAGGGGAAGTAGATTTGTAGTCAAGCGGAGTAGAGGATAAATATTTAAAATTTTTCTAAAACCGGAGTAAATCTACTCAGATCGGAACATAGTCCGAACACTGGTAGTGAATGTATTTTTCCAATTTTAACGCTAGTGAGCCACAGATGGTGGGAAAACACAGGTTGCCAACGTGGGTTCGTTCGGAGAGAAATGCATGCACATTCGCAGGGTGCACTTGATGATTCGATTTTTTTTTTTCGTTACCGTTATTCGAACAAATTTGTTTGCTGATGCATTTCCGAACGTTTTTTTGCAGTTATTAGAACATCTTTTTTTACGATGCTTTCCGAACGTGTTTTTTTTTGCAGTTTGCTTTTCTTCAGGTTTTAAATTTGAAATTTTTTAAAATTATTGGAATTTTGGTTTTGAATCAGCCACTTAAATTTTATATAATTTAGTGACAGCTTCCAGTAGCTCACTGCCTATTTGGGTGAAAAATTGCAGAACTTATCAGATGCATGAACTTAAAAGTGTATGCATGTACTTCTACTACCTCAGTGAAATGGATATGTGATGTAATTTTTATAAGGCGAAACCATGAAAATCAAGTGGGTTACCGGCATAACCAACCCAACGGCCATAACAGTGTGTATAAGGAGCTGTATATCCTTTAAACAGCGATGGGCAGAAAGAGAGCTTTTACTCTGCTCGCGCCTATACAAAATGTATAGAAAGATTAAAAGAGCTTTGCCCGCGGATAAGGCAGTGTCCATCAGTGCTTAACAACGATGTAGAAATAGTGCGGCAGATTAAAACACAACTGCTCAGCTGTACGTATGAACGGAAGCGCTTCGTATCTGATGCTGGTAGCAGAGGAAGAGGAAGGCCACTTCTGTGGTCAGAAGGCAAGGGAGAGAAAGACTTGGTTTAACCTGGAATTTCTAATTTGCATCAGTTGGCATATCCTCTCCTATCTAGGAAGGGGAGTGTGTTACAATAACCTGATTTCAAGGAGAGAAGGTCCTTGGCTCGTTGAGCCACCTGCAGGCCACTTCAGTAAGCCTTGCGGCCCGGTTTTTGGCAATGTATTTCCAACTTAATTTAAGTTTTTTTACGAAAATATAGTTTATTCCGACACAAAAATGCAAGCACTTAAGCTTCAAACTTTGTGTAAAATTTATTAAAAAAAAATAAAAAGAAAATCGTGTAAATTGCAAGATTTTTAATTAGATTTTGAATATATAGTTTGTATGATTTGAATGTAAGTTTGAGTGTCTGCGAAATACTGTTGATTTTTGGCAATTTTTTTGCTTACAGGGTGTGCATGGAGGAAAGTGGTCAATAATATATATATATACATATGTATATATAAGTTCACCAAAATCAGCTGTAAGTCCTAGGTTGTTCAAACTTGCCCTTTGTTATATTAAAATCGAAGCCCACACAGGTGCATATTCAAAATGTTTCCGAAAACTGAAATAATGAACAATGTCAAGCCTAAATATTTTATTTAAAACCTGGAATTATTGTTTTTTTTTTGTGGAAGAACAAACTAAATTTTTATAAAAAAAGAGAATTAAAATAGATTTGAAAAAAAATCTGGTAGTGAACCTTAAAAATTTGTTTAAAACTTAAAAATTTTCGTTGCTGTCTTTATTTTGTACATAGAAAAAAATTGACATGTGCTCCACACAAACTACAGACCACCCTAATTCTTATTATTTAACTCCGGTTAATAAAACCCGTCAGATTAACAAACACATTTGATTTTTCACATTTTTAATTAATACATATTTTTGTTTATTGTAATAGTTTACGACAAATTTGTAAAATTTACGCTGACCGTATGTACAATAAAATAGTATATAATATACACGTAATTCCAAATACATATGAATGTATATGTAAAATAATAATTATAACACATTTTAAGAAGCTTAAGAGAACTGAGGATATTACTTATTTCCTCACACGAAAACAATGAAAAAGATAAAAAAAAATAAAATAACTTAAAACTAATAGAAGAACAAAGTTTAGAAAAGGAAACAAAACAGCGTGCGTGCTACTAAGATTCGCAGAACTATGTGCATGGCATTAAGTAAAGTAAGTGAAACCAGAGCTAAATGCGACAGATCTAGCAATTTTCATTCAGCGAACTTAAAGAAATTTATCGAAATGATAGAAGCCGGAAATGTTTTTCAAAGAAATTCGCAATTTCTTTGTATTTTGTGCCCTTCGTGTGATAAAACTGATAAACACAAAATCTAAGTAAGTCTGCAAACAGCTTAGTTGCGCTTCCTCAAAGCCAGACGGGCGTGCGGCAGGCGTCTCGCTTGTTCCTTGGGCTCTTGCTCGGATTCTTCCGCATCTGTGTCGTCAGCAGGCGCTGGTGGTTCGGGTTTGCCGGGCTTCGCCAACAACTTACGGCGATTCACTGGCGGGAGTACAAATGAGAATGATTAAACAAATTGTTGGCATAAAAAGGTCATATGTACATATATCAGATATATATATAATATATATAAATGTATTTATATGAAACAAAATTGAAAAAAATTAGCTATTACAAGGCTAGTAAGTACTGGTACTTATATACATACATACATAAGTTCGTATAAAACAAAAAATACTCACAAGCTGTGCTGCCTGCCTTGAAACCTTTCGCAGGCGCTGGTGCTGGTGCAGATTCGGCGCCCTCGTCTCCGCCTTCGTCGTCAGCTGGCGATTGCTTGCTCTTTGGAGTTGGCTTCTCAACAGCTGTGAATTAAAGTCGTACATTTTTTATTTTTATTTTTTTGTATCTACTTATAGCAAAAAATCCATTTTATTTTTTATTTATCTTAGTTACTTACCTCTGTGTTTCTTAGCGTCCTGCTGGCGACGTTTCAGTGAATTCAAGAAATCATCGTTCGAGCGGAATGGCCGAATGACAGGACCTATCACCTTCTTGGGAGCTTCAGTTGTAGTTGTGGTGCTGCTTGCGGCTGCATCGTTCTCATCACCCTCCTCACCCTCTGGATTGTTGGCATCCTCATCGCCGTAGTCCCCTTCGTCTTCTTGTTGTGGGGGTGGTGGTGTGGTTGTAGTTTTTGCCACTTTTCCGCCGACTGGACGCCGTAGTGCCGGTCGTTTGGGTCCAAGGGAAGCCGGGCCTTCCTCCTGCGCGTAAGTGAGCGAAATACAGCAAGCCAACGCAAGAACTACCAGCAAAAGTGTGCTGCAATAAATAAGCGAATTATAACTCAAAAATTTATTTAAACGCAAGCACAAACAAAGAAAATAAGTATCTACAGCTAAAGCTTAAAAACTGGATTTAATATGAAGTCTAACGAGTTAAGTTGCAATTATTGTGGAATTTCGTTCTGCAACAGACATACTAGCTACACCTATACATACACGTTTAGCTACTAATGGCTATTAAAAAAAAATTATGAAATAATCAAAATAAGTTGAAGTGAAGGCTCACTTGTATGTACATATCTATGAAGGACGCTGCGGAATGAAGACGGTCTAGAATTTAAGGCGAAGAAGAAGAAGAAAATTACGTATACGTCACAACGGTCGAGCTGAAAGATACTTATTTATGTGGTTACTTCAGCTAAGAGTCGATCAATAAATCGTTCGAGCGCGCATAAACTGCTGTACGCTAATTGTTGTTGTTGCTGCTATTGTCCAGATTTGCTGTTTCATTTAGATACTTGTAGCACCTAGCAACGCCACAAAGCCAAGTCCGAATTTAAATTGTATATACAACAAGTGCTTATGCAAAATAACCAGTTTTAAACTAAAAAAAAAACAAACCCCGCACATTTACTAGAAGCTGCGATTTGAGAAAGAAAAAAAATACTAATGGCATTTTTTTTAATGTTGCTGCTACCAGGGTACCGTTAGCTTTAGCAAAAAACAAAACAACAAATAAGTATTTGCATTGAACGCTAATAAAATGCATATGCATATCCTTCTACGTACATACATACATATACATCTATGTACATTAGGGTGCCCATGGTAATTTTTTTTCCTTTTTATGAGAAACATTATTGCGTATTTTTATAGATTTCTTAAAAATCGTTTAGAGGTCGCGATCTTACGTTTAGGTCAGAAAATGCGATTTTGGAGATTAATCATTTTTTGTGTGACTATTTTTTCCTTAAATTTTTTGAAAAACCATTTTTTTTCTAAAGAGCAATTGTATATCAATTTTGAATTAATATTGATGAACTCCTTGGCCACACTGCAAAAAAAAAAGATATAATAGTCCAGTACACACACGCATATAATTTCAAGGCTGTATTTAGGAAATGTTGCCAAAATTCGACAATTTTTATTCGATTGCAATAAATGGGGTATCAGTTTATTTGAAAATAAATTTTTGAAATTGTGGAAATAAGCGATGGCCAAAATCTAAAAAAGTTTAGAAAATATATATATTTTTTTAAAATCCCAACAATTTAAGTCCGACAATAGATTATTATACATCATTTTAAAGGCCTATAAGTCTTCTTCTCACAACTCATTCGATCTTTAAAATCTAATGTAAAATAGACATTCAAAAACTGACAAATCTCCAAAACGGTATTTTCTGGCATGAAATGATAGGTTGCCACCTCTAACTGATTTTTTAAAAATCTTTAAAAATAGGCAATAATATTTGTCATAAAAAGGAGCGGAATTAGGGGATAGGATCTTGAAATTAAAAAAAAAAAAAATCGATGGGCACCCTAATTTACATACAAGCTTAGCTACATTAAGTCATAGAAGAGTATGTACGCACATATTCATATGTGAGTACCTTATAGGTATGTACATATGTACATTTATATCATATACATGCCTACAATTAGGTACATACATATGTATGTTTACATATACGATTTCTAACTCTTCTACATATCCATGTATTTACCGTTATTCTTTTGACCGCTTTTCCCAGTTGCTTAGTACCGGTGGCACGTTTATAACTGTCATAGCGGTAAATATTGCAGCCGCTTTGAATTGTTCGAATTTAAAATGCACTAATAGCTGTCGAAGCGCCAACACCAAAGTCAATGCTAGCACGAAGCCTTTGCAGCTCTGTGGCTGCTATCAAAATGCTGGCTGAGTTATAGCTTGGTTTGGAGCTGCACACATTTGAGATAAGTATTTATTTTTAAATGTATCGAAACAAGTACATACTACAATTTGTCACATGTGTAAGTTGCATATTTTTGATATTTCCCAAAATTTCATTTTGTTAGGCGAACTGGAAAACTTTTTAGTTCAGTGAAATATTCCTGATATATTTTTATTTCGTATTTTGAAAGGAATTTCCGCCAAAAATTCATCATACTCTCACCCTTTCGGATGTCCTCAATGATAACACATATATATTTCCTACAGGCCCTCACAAAATGTACACCGCTCCAGTGTCTGCTGGAAGGCTTATATTAAGTTCAAACATAAGTAACTCCAACTCGATTTAAAAAGTAGTTTAGCTATCGCTATTTGGTATTTCCACATACAAAATTAAATAGGGTCAATTGGTTATGAAATAGTGCCAGAAAGTCAATACATATTAAACATCATAATAATTGCTTGACTAGAAGCCTGTGTGAAGCCCCTATTATAGAATTGGGTTTATTGAAAGAAGGAACGATCGCGCAAAGTCGAGTAATTTCTCGATGGCCGGTAGAGAATTGATTAAGAGGAATACAAGTTACGGGAACGAAAACGAACCGGAAATAGGAGCTCAACTTCCTGCAAATATTTAGGTTTAATGAGTGCAAGATTAGTCTGATACAAGCATCCACAATGTACATAATTTTATCAACCACGCTGGTAAGTTTCAACACAGTGATCCGGGATTTATGCTAGCAAAGAGCAAATATTTGCTTCTTGGGCGTTGCGACCAATCTTCATCTAACCGTCCCTGTAGCTACAACGAAATCGTGTTCAAGATGGCGTATTCGCTTGACGTGCATTCCATTAGACAAAAATGCCCTATCAATCGACAATCCTAAGAATTTCATAGGTCCTTTTATCAACATTTTTTGGTTACGATGTTGAATGTTTTAGTACTTAGTTTAGGAGGAATTAAAATCCGTAAATCATGAACTTTTCGCATACGAGCAGCTGATTACTAAATATTCCCTTTTTCGCTTCCGACGTAGTACTTATTTTAAATAAATTTATGTATCCTCCTGTGAGATTATATTGTAGCATTGCTAAAGTCCATTGCAAAATACAAATTATTTATAAAGCGAACTGTAGCCCATAAGCATTAAATCTGCAAAAAACGAAGGTGTGATGAGTCAAACCATCGCACGATTTGCAATAGACTTCAGCTATTCAGAAATAAGGCCATACATTTCTAGGAAATGTGTAGTAATACAAAACAGTTGACCTCAGGCCCGCCAACACAATTGCGACCTGTTTTTCTGCGGGTGCAGCAAACGCCTTTCCAACACCAACACTTCAGCGCATTACAATTGCAATCACATCATTTCACACATTCACATTCACATTCGCAAGCACAGCACATCTCATTTCATTTCAATGGACACATGGACGTACTACAAATTGCTGGCCATAATCATGTGCCTGCTGCTGCCATTGTTGTTATTGGTTGGTGTTGCTGTCACTGATCAGGTTACATAACAAAATCGTTATTGTTTTTTTGCCGCTGGTATTTTTGGCTATTCTTCGCTTGAGTGGCACAATTAATTATTTTGCACGAAAGAAGCACAAAGATAGCCGGAATAATTGGTCATTCCGAGTCATTTGTATGCGATAGTGGCTGCATATTCGTATGGACTTGGTCATAAAAATTAGATTTAGATCGAAAAAAAATCAAATGTAGAAATGTGTATTGAAACTGAAATGAGGCATACATGCAAGTTAGAGACTATTTATTTAAAATAAACTTTGAGCTATTTGATTTGATGTTACGGTTTTCATGCAACCGGTTTGTCAACAAGTAACACAAAGAATAAAGGTGCCGCATTCACTCGATCAGCATTTTTATACGAGTATTTGCAGTGGGTATTAATTTGTGTTTTTGCAAAAACAAAAAAAAAAAAAAAATAGTAAAGAAGTAGCTAAAGCTTTGAATAGCACGTAGTGGAAGCAGCAAAGAAGTATCCATACAAAAAAAAAAACAAGAAGAAATATACAGCGATTTGTTGGCACGAAAATTGATTACCTATTTCTTTAAAGTTGTACATATAATTCGTAGATATGTTGTATACATGTAAAGGTAAAAAAAATTTAAACAACAACAGTGTTTATTAATATCAGTATACACCAGGGAAGCCAACTCGTGGGGAATTGCCCGGTTTGCGGGGATGAACCGTGTTTTGTGGGGAATTTCAGCTCGTTCAGTTCTAGTATAATAAAGTTTCAAATGGCTAAAAATTAGCGTTGATTTTTTAGAATTTTTTTGTCGTATTTGCTATCATATATCGAATAAACACAATTTATTTTTATATGGAAGAAACTCGCAACAATTTCGGAAAAAAATCCTAAAACGAAAATTTTTATATCAAAATATTTCTAGAATATCAAACTAACAAGGTCGAAATTTTTACGAAAGTTGAATTTTTTTTCAAATATTGCACAAAGTTTGAAACTTGGATTTATACGTTTTTTTTTTTTAAAGAATGAACTATATTTTTATAAAAACAAAGAAATTCAAATTAATTAACAAAAAAAAAAATTCAAAAAATTGGTGCGAGTAAAAATTGTTCGATCACTGCATGTATGTAAATATTATAAAAATATTTTTTATTCTTTATTTATTAACTAACTTCATAAAAGTTGAAAGATGAAATATTTTTAGAAATACAATAAACAGAAAGACCAGTTATATATCAAAATACATAATTTTTTTTTTTGTAAGTAAGAAAATATCTATGGGTGGGAAATTTTACGAAATTTCGGGCAAAATCGGTGAATTTCATTTTCGAAATTGGGGAATTCTCATAAATGAGTTGGTTACGCTGGTTTACGCACAAATATTTTCATCAACGCTGCAATTGTATTTGTGTTTATACGTAAGTATAGTACATATTCAGATGCGTTTCATAATTATATGATGAGACTACTCACAAATATTGAACTTATATTCAACTTTTCACAAAAATTTAAAAAAATCAATGAATTTCTCACTGTTTTTCAGTATTGTCAGCGACAATTTGCGAGAGGGGAGCATTCGCTGGTTGAGCAGCAGTTCATTTATTC